GGCCCTTGACGTCTTCTCATAGTAGATCATACAGCGGAACGAAGGGTCAACAAGTGATCTTTTCAAGTAAATTAATCATTAAATATCTCATAAAATACTATCGTTCTATCAATATAACCCTCACGTTTTGCATTTGTGGTTGATCGATTCTTTCTTATTATGACTTGTAACATTTAAAAAAATATTATAAAATGCTGAACCAACACATTTCGTGGGTTGTCACGAAGTGGGTGTTTATTCAAAATGATATTGAAAGATCATTCTGAAAAATAAACAGATTAATCAGATTCCCATATACATTTACGGAGTCAGTTTTTAAAAAGTACATGATGAAGCTTATGTTGGGTTATTCAATTAACTAAGCACCATTATCATGATGTATATGTTTGGAAAATAGCACGTGAACTCGCATAGATGCATCTCAACTTCTCAAAAATGACAGGAAAAGAGGGGAAAAAACGCCTTCTCCCTCAGCGTGATTGAAAGGCAAGACAGGCACGTTAATTGATAATTTCGTAGCCATATGACGAGAAAACTGGCAAAAGCTTGAGAAAAGCCCAAATTATTGATACATGAGACATGGGCTGACAGTTGTTTCTATAATGGCCTCGACTTGGCTGCGTCAAACTAGGCCAAACCGGAAGCTTGGACTCTTCTCGGATCAATTACTCGCGTGTGATGATGCGAGAGCCTCGTTCACAGATCGAGTGCAGCCTCGACTTGAAGCCAAGACACTGCTACATGCTGTTTTTACGTAACATGTAGCTTTTTATGCTATAACATTTTATAAAATTGGGATTGGTGATAGTTTGAAGTATATCTTGAACAAACTCTATTTTTGTATGACATAGCGCCTCTAGCTTCTTCTATACAGTTTATTCCACGTACAGAGAAACTACAGACAGAGAAGTGTGACCTCGTATTAAAAGTATCTGTAAGTTGCAAACATCGGCAGATTTTCTGCAATATTGATTTATAATCACTTTTGGTGTATCCTGATAATCCGAGGATCTTGAAGATACTCTTGAAGAACACGCATTAACTGAATGTGAAAGAAAAAACTGTTAGAATCTGACGGAAACCTCTAAATGAAGAAGACAGCCAGATATGTTACATCTCTGAGAATCAGTTTTTAACATTTCTTTTTGCAGTTAAAACTTTTTTATGTTGGCAAAATTTTAAATCTCAGTTATAAAATTATACCAACAGATTAATCTTCAAAAAGCCTTCACTTAAACAAACTCTACGTGGTATTATTCTGCATTTATGACTAGTTTTATAACAAACTTACGCCAATTCCAACAAAATGTCATTCATTAGACAAATGTTTCAGTGCCGATCAGGCTTAAAAGAATGTTTATTAAGTGCTTCATAAAATACCGAAAACGAATATTTATGAATGTTCATAAATTAATATTTGTATACAGTTAATAACTGTAGCACCTTCTCATACGGTATCATGCTAACTGTACATTTTAGTATTGATGTATACATTGCAAGAACGCGAAAGGTGCATCACCTGGTTAGACGGCAATTATGAGGTATGCGAAATGTCAGGGTATTATCGCGACGATAATATGATATGTCGAGACTCGTCAGAAATTCACATGCCATGACCAATGACACTTTTGACATTTTCTTGGCAAATTAATTTATCTATTTGATCAGCGAAATGACATAAATGCCCTCCCAATAGTATCAGACTGGGAAACCGAACAGATTTGACATAAGCGCCACCACATTCGGCTCCGTATCGAGCCAAGACATTACAAGAGCTATCATTACATAATGACGAAGAAGTATGCTACGCCGAAGAGAATATTATTAATAATAATAAAATAGGGAGTCTTCACATTCCTCCAAAAGTTCTGGGTGGGTTAGACTGGGCAGCGCTTCCTGGGAGAAGTCCCATTCGCCGTCTGGGCTGCGTGTAGATAGGTCCTGAGCTGTTCATGAGCCTAACCAGTCTGACTCGGCCAGGATCACCCAAAATCTCAATGCGGCATTTTTATTTCAATCTGTATATACTAATAAGGCAATATATAATACGCCAGATTCCACCATGAGGGTCTAGGAGGTTTACAGTCACATTGCCATATCATCCTACCGGGTACCCAATTCACTGCTGGGTGAACGGGGGCATATTGCTACGCAGGAGCGAAGCCCTAGAAACTCACAGGGGTCAAGCTGCCCGACTCTCTCCGCGACCAACGATGCCTAACGTCGCCTAATTTGTGGCATGTCAATAAGTTCAATCTTTAACAGTTCTGCTACTTGAAATGTCAAGCTCAAATGGGCTTCTTTACACTCTACATCTTATCACCCTATAACTAAACGACAAACATTTTATTCCTTGCTGTTTGTCCTGAGCGAAAGAAGTACGTCACGCAAGCCATTACATGATGCAGACATAAATGTGATTTGATTTTGCTAACTAGATTCATATTTAGTAGAAGTATTCTGATAGAAGAATGATTAGAAATGGTCAACTAATCTGTCGTTAATTCTGCCAGTAGGGCTCTTAATTCAAGCCAAAGAAACATTTGCATCACTCAACGAGTGTCCAATTCATTTGTAGACATTTGACGAGAATCTAATGGCAAGATGCACGAGAAACAACCATCAACAGCACCCATACATGTTAGATACCATCAATGGCAAGAAACACCTGCATATGGGATGAAAACAGTTGTTCAATCAAGAGAAGCAATGCTGGTAAAGGCTGTGGCACATTACCAATTCAAATATGGAGATCGGAGTCAATCTAGCTATCGCCTTGTCCCTACATATGGCAATTGGGTCTATGACCCTTTCAGACTCAATGCACACTGTTGACGTAAACTAGTTACCCACGTGTCATAACCAAATCAAACCAGACTAATGTGGATTTAGATGTCCGCAGAGTGGATAGCATGGTCAAACGGCTTAAATTTTGTGGCATGTTCTTTTAGATCGTTGGCGTGTGATTGAACTGGCATAAAGACTTAAGCTGATCGGACTTTAGGTGTTTACAAAGGAGTTAAATGATCGGGTAATGGTCAGAGTAGATTATTCCAGAAGGTAATAATATCATGTCAACTTCGCGGTTCCTTAACCCCAATGAAACGGCTTTGAACGACGGGAGATGCGTATCTGTGAGGCATATGTACATGGTTCTGCACAAGACAGAGTTTGGAAATATTTTTAAGTGTAATCAATAACTGTACCTATTGTTTTGTCGAGAAGCAATTCTTCTGTTATAGTTTCTGTATTGCCCATTTCATTTCCCACATAATGAAATGTTTCCACTGCTTAATACTATGATTACTTTACCACATGTGAAATTGTCTTTCTAGCAGACAATAAATTTTTATCACTTGAAGTCTTGCTCGAAATCGATAGATCCTTTTCAGATTTTCATGACACAATATAATTAATGTAATTTGGATGAGTTCGATTCAAAGTAAGGTCAACCAATGGTTTATATGTCTTGAAATGGTATTGGTGTTACCAAAGTCTCATAGAGGTATTATATCGTACTAGTTGCACTAAGTTGCACCTTTCGCGAACACCTGGTGTCATCACTGATCTTCAGTGATCCATTCGTATAGTTTTCACCGCTATTTCGCCCTTTTACGCCCAATGGAATCTGTTTGGGCATAATCGTTGTATGTACTAAATATAAAACGTCAACATCTCGATTATCGCCATTGGGCGTAAATAGCGGTTAAAATTTTATGAATGGATCACTGAAAATCAGTGATGATACCAGGTGTTCGCGAAAAGGGAAAGCATATCTTACCCTAAACTGAATCTGAACTGTGAACGTGAAACACACATTAACTTACATTGTCATATATATGCACTGCAGGATCTTGCAGCTGAAGCCGTATGTTTCAAAATGAACAGATAAATCCTGAGCATTTTTAATGTCATGTTTCCAGAACCTCTCCATGTCTTTACCTTCAAGAGAACAGATCTCACTGCATCTTGGTCATGACGAACATGAAGATCAAACCATTCTTCGGGAAAAGTAAATTGGAACATTATGCACTGTCCATCGTTTGATATCTGGACTTGCATGACCAAGTATGTCCATGTATTGTCAAAGATGTGTAACAAATTCCGTACGTGTAAAAGTTGATAACTGAATAAGTATGTCGAAGTGTATCCACAAGTTAATTATATCGCCCTCATTAACTTGATTGAAACTTATAGCATGGATACTGTTCACATGTCTCTTGAGATTAGATGTTCAAAAACTGTTATTTCTTGCACCGGTTCCACAACACTGCTGACAGCTAGATTGATTTGATAGTCAGGCGAGCCCTTTATGTGAACTGCAACAATTGTGTTGAGAAATCGATAACTGAAGACGAGAACAGATCGCACATCTTTACTGCACACATGCGCGTGCACTTGGTCCCTGTTCGTATCATACAGACGCACGGTGACGTGTGAGCACATACGGGCCATTTGAGACGCATACGGACCACCTGAGACATACTGACAGGGAGACATTTACGAAGACGTGACCCCTCCCACATGCACATTCAAACACACATTGTCTCACTCAAATATATACAGAGACAAAAAGACAGTTTGGTCATCCCACAGACTTTGCGTTCAACATGGCCGTATGCATGACGCTGAAAGACATACAGTCACACGGATTGGCACATAAACGTTCATGTCTGAGACAGTGTCACACGTTCATTCACACATCGTTCCAAAGTTGCTCAGACACTTGGCACATATATATTTCAGATGAAATATTTCATTTGACCCAACACACCAACATGGAAATGTAGTATCCGAGATACACACACTCACACACATCCACACATGTCTCACACACTGCCTGTCTGGGGTTGAGTTTGTTTTTATACAAACATATATCCACAATCGGATATTTACAAACAGACATCCACAATCCGATGTCTGATCTACAAACATATATATCCGTCGAACAGTGCGATATCTACTAACATCGCTCCACAATAAGAGATAAACTAACTCACCTTCTGCTAACCACGTCTCCTGCATTTGACTCAAGTCGGCAAAAAGTTCTGAAAGACCATACAAACATACATTAACTCTACAGCATGACGTATGACTCTCAGTCGTATCCACCTTCAGGACAAGGGGTTTCAAGACAGAGGCATGCATTTTCGATAGTACAAACATATCTCAATTATAAATATTCCAAAAGAAATGTTTATACATTTTCATAATCTTTATTTGTATTTGTCGAGCAATATTCCAACAGCTCCAGCCTTTGGTGTCTACTTTTTGAGGTACAATCGAGCATGCTCTTACTTCGAAGTTTTCAAAGAGCGTCATATTACTCTTGCTCAAAAGTCGTTTGATCAAGGTTACAACATTCAAGGACTCAGCGAAGTTTTCAAAATGTTTTTATGGTAGACATGTGTTTTTTAGGTGAACAATTGCCTTGCCTGTGCATGTGTTTGTGACGGGTACCAACGGTAGGACAGGATAAGCTGACCTTTTCGTGAACACCTGGTATCATCGCTATTTGATAGTGATTCATAAACACGTGCTCATGATATAGTCGGAATCGTACAATAGACTCTGCTTTAGCAGAATTGTTTTAATGATTATGGAAACAGCTTTTGTCGCTTACATTAATCTGTATAAGACTATATCATTGTGCTTAGAGGACATATCCGAACGTACTAAAACAACTTAAACTTTCTAAAGGGCTTATGTAGACCTACATGCCCTAGTAGTGTCTGACTCCGTGTCAAGTTTTTCCCCTGCTATTTCGTTTGTTATTTTATCTGTCTATCCATTGTTATTTTCTATTACAAATCCCAATCGCTTTTCTTTCGTTTAAACAAAAGATGTTACCAAGGTAAAAACTCACCAAAAGATATATCTTATTAATGTATATTACGATACTGTTTAGTAATGGTTCGTTTGTTTGTGTATGTAATTTATTTTGTTTATTTGTCTCAAACAAGAGTAAAGTCGTCACCAGATAAAGATTTTTCGTTACCTGGGATAAAACTTAGCAGAAGATATTTCTCTTTAAAGTATATTGGGGTACCTTATTTTAAATGATTCTGTTTGTTTATGGATTTGATTTGTTTTTGTGTATGGTTAGGGATGATGGGGAAGGGATGTTAATTTTATCTTTGAGAACACTTCTCTGCGTATCAGACTTGGTTGCATACGCCGTCTTCAGAAAAAAGACAAAACTATACGAGTACACATTGGACTCAGTAATAAACGTACGTCTGTTATTGACATGACGTTAAAAGCTGTCGTGAAAGCGAGACAATACCACCCGTGTCCACTTCTCCAGCGGAAGGAGGTTCGCGACGACGGTAAAATGAAAAGTTATAATCATATGAAGCCAAGAGGGAGAAAAGCAATTATTACACTTGGAAGCAGGTTCCACGCATGCATATTTGATATGATATGCTTAACATCAGAAACAAGCATTTTGGATCACTGCTTTGGCCTGAATATATAATGAACCAGCCTTAATCTCTTTATTATAGCCAATCTGATCATTTTCCCGCCTTTGGTCATTCCTGGATTAATTACAAAGCGCCATTTTGAATTAAGATCTCGCCTGTCCGCGAGAGCTCATGTTTCAAATCTCGCACCACGGGCGAGAAGACAATCTCGTCTGCTCGCAAGTTGCGGGTCATGCGCACGTGCTAAGACGTCACTGGGTGGTGAGAAATATGGATAGAGTTGCCAGCATGGCAAAGGGACTTTTGTGAAATATTACACAATTAAGTGGCAAAGAGTGACTGAAAATGCACACACACCGTGTTGAGATAGGACGCGGACGGATCTCCCGTAGAGTTGTATGAACACTTGGGCCTGGCGCAGCCCACAGTAATTGCTACCATCAATAAAACATTCTCATGTAAAATTCAACACGTCTAAATTGAAACCTGGAGCGAGGTAATGTCCAAGTGTCGCAGTATGAATGGGTTTTTGTCGTCACCCGCACTTCATTTGGGAATTTCCAGAACAGCAACCGCACTATTTTGTTTATGGGTGATTATTTGCGGAAGGATATATTTCATATTTCGGTCAACCTCCTTATCCCGTCAGCCTCAAATGCATTTATAACAGTTCACGCTACTATTCAAATAAGGCTATGGAGTCCCTGCGCGACAACAGATCTGGTTGTTATTTTTTTTATAATAGCAATCAATTTTTTTGTTAAGTCTCAAGTTATTTTGATGTCTGCAAATTTAAAACTCTGCATGCTATCAATGGTGTATAGTACGTATTTTTGTAAAGTTCAAACAAACACAAAACTGTACGACGAATCTTGAAGCTCTGACATTTTAAAGAAAAAAATGGACTACGGAGCAGTATAAACGAATACTGCTTTGTTCCTCGGTTTATTACCTAAATACATTTTATGTAGGTATTTTTATGTGCTTTAAGATACAGGTTATTTTCTCGAGTGTAACCATCGTAATTTACGAGAATCGACATGTTCGTCCATAACAATTTTTAGTCAGAGATATATATACACTTTGGTGCCATCAAAATGGGAAGTGGTACATGTAGTTGTAAACGTAGCAGGAACATCGGCTGTAGACGTAGAGTAGTAGCGAGCTACTGAGGTTGTTGAAGTAGCAGAAGTAGTAGTAGTAGTAGTAGTAGTAGTAGTAGTAGTAGTAGTAGTAGTAGTAGTAAAATAAGAGAATGTAAAGTTAATGTCTTGAATACCTGTGAAGGTTTTAATAAAACTAGAGAATTTGTTTTAATGTCTGGGTGTTTTCTACCCACAAACAAATCTCTTTGGTTTCACTGTAGTATGTCCTGAAGTTTTGGCAGAAGTAGTAGTAATAGTTGTATGGTGGTGGTGATGGTGGTGGTAGCAGTAGCTATAGTAGTAGTAATAGAAGCGGTAGCAGCAGCGTGAGCAGAATCAGAATCAGAATAAGTAGCACTAGCACTAGCAGCTGCAGCAGCAGAAGTAGTAGTGGTAGTGGTAGTAGTTTAAGCAGCACTAGTTGTAGCAGTAGCAGTTTGTTGTTTACGCCGCACTCAGCAATAGTTTAGATATATTACGGCAGGTCTGTAAGTAATTGGGTCTGGACCAAACAATCCAGTGACTGACATCATGATCTACACAGTTGGGATACGATGACTTGCATCAACCAAGTTACCCATCTTGATCACCCGATCCCATTAGTCGCCGAAGACCAATTCTAACCCGGATCTTCACGTGTAGTGGTAGTAGTAGCAGCAGCAGTAGTAGTAGTTGTTGTTGTAGTAGTAGTAGCAGTAGTAGTAGGAGTAGTAGTAGAAGCAGCAGCAGCAGTAGTAGAAGGAGTAGTAGTAGTAGTAGTAGTAGTAGGAGGAGGAGGAGGAGTAGAGTAGGAGGAGTAGTAGCAGTAGCAGTAGGTGTAGTAGTAGTAGTAGTAGTAGTAGTAGTAGAAGGAGTAGTAGTAGTAGGAGGAGGAGGAGGAGGAGTAGAGGAGGAGGAGTAGTAGCAGTAGCAGTAGGTGTAGTAGTAGTAGGAGGAGGAGGAGGAGGAGGAGTAGAGTAGGAGTAGTAGTAGCAGTAGCAGTAGGTGTAGTAGTAGTAGTAGTAGGAGGAGGAGGAGGAGGAGGAGTAGTAGAAGTAGTAGTAGTAGGAGTAGTAGAAGGAGTAGTAGTAGTAGTAGTAGTAGTAGCAGTAGTAGATAGCAAAACAGAATGAGTAACAGTAATCGTATGTTGCGTTTTACTTGTGTATTAAATTCAATATATTGAATACACATACTGAATAAAACGGAGAAAGAAATGGCACATTTGTCACTGGAGACTGCGCGAAAAACAGCCCCGTTGCCTCCTCCAGCTCGACACGTTTTACGGCCTCTTAGATACAGTGACTTGTTTACCCTGACAATGTAATTTGACACGTTGTGACATTGCTGTCGTGCTTGTGGTGCCCGCTATTCCAGGATGACGGGGCTTTAAACACCCACAAGGAGGTGAATGTATATCTTTATCTTAATGAGATATTTACAAGCAATTAACTAAACGGCCGGGCAAAAGAAAGTAAAGACTTGAAAATCAGATTCGATAAAAAAAATCCAACATTATCAAAACGTCAAAACTGACGCAGAAACACTGCAAACCATGAGACCACTATCAAATACAACACCATCGAATAACCATTTCTTGTTTGTTTTATGTTTATCCAACATCAAACATGGGTGTATTCTTTCTTTTGCCCGGCAGTTAATGGTTTCCATATTAAAAACAACTTGGTGTTTTGTTTGAATGACGTACTTGAAAATCCTTGGGGTAGATATACCCTGTTAACCACACAATAAGGATGGACTGTGGCACATATGGGGAATGATGGATGGTTTAAAGGGGATGAAAGGCTAGGTAGTGGGATATATATAGATTGACTTGTTTTATCTTGAAACATATAACAACTTTAGCTACTAATGGGGTTTTTTTTAATATCAAACAGAGAATGATTAATCCGTATTTTCTGCCGAAACAGGTTTCAATGGACGTACAAGGTAAAACAGGGTTGAAAATAATGAGAAAGGATCACCAAAAATGTGAAATGTCTGCAAGTCTTCAAAACCCTTGATTCATAAGCTAGTTGTTTTCATGTCTTTTTGATAGCAGTTATTCACACAGTAAAAATATAAAAAAGAAACTTTATTTCGACGCAACCTCAAAACATTTTCAGTACAATACAAAAACGACAGAAATACCACAAAATCAGCATTTCACACAAACACAATCCTGACACAATAGCGACCCAAGCGTCTCAACGCCATCACTATTTTCGTAACAGCTATCTCCTTCCCCGCCAACTCAACAACCCAGCTAATGATGTGTAGATGTATTTACATTTACCCGGGTCAAAGTGGCTTATGTTTCTAAGCTATAAAGAGACCTTTTGATTCCCCCGCCCTTTCAAGTAAGGCTAATCAGACCCTTGGTGTGCACTTTTTAGTTAGCGTTTTCTTGAAGTTAGGAGGGTTAATCTTGGTGACGTTACCATTGCCTACGCAGAAACCATACATGTTGTTATTCAGAAACAAATGCACTGCTGGTATGAATGGCTGGTATTAATATGATGGTATGAAGCCCCGTGTTTATAATTTGTGTAGTCTAAAACAGAAATACACAATGATTGAGCACAAGTTACTAAACTAGTCATATAAAGGATGGCTTTTTTTTTCTTATTAGTTTTTTATTTCTTCTTATCGGTATTATCAATTTAGTTTGATCATTGTTTTTATTTTATTTTTGATAATTTATCATTTGGTTGGGTTTTTTTCAACTTGTTTTTAGTTTTAGGGTTATTGGATGGAATAGATGGATCGTCTATTTGATAGTGATTCCTAAACACATGCTTCTGATTCAGTCGGAATCGTACAAATTACTCTGCTTTCAGAGCTTTTAATGTAAAAGAGTTTTTCGCTTTTATTCTTAGGAGTTTATGTGGCAGTTGGATTAGTCTGAGATCGACCCGATTTTATAAAGTATATCATAAATGTCAACCATAAAACATAATTGCATAATTGTATTAAATAAAACTACTGAAGACATCAAACAAAACATGCTAAATTTTCATATTAATGAATGTTTTGGTATGAATGCCATAACTAATTTTAGTTCAGTGTTGCATGATAAAGGTCTAAATAAGGCATCACAAATGTTGCGAAATAGTGACCCGTCACAAAACCTCCATGTGTTATTTAATCATGAGAAAAGTTTGAATTCCATTTTAAAATGTTTAAATTCTTTCAATACTTCTACATGATTCATTGCAATTAAAATCAATTAAACCAACATCATGGACGATCTAAACACATTTCACAATTTGCTCAATTTCCATCGACCCACCACCAAGGTTAAACCGCATTGTCTCCAATCTTAGTCAACAACACAAGTGAAAAAAATCACGTCCCTAATTTGTAAGTAGAGCACAGATCCTCGGTTTAACCTCAAGGTATGGGAGGTGAGCTGATTATATTGGAACTTGGCTGAAATGTGTCATTGTTGCATGCGATTACATAAAAAATAACGACGTCACTGGCCCATATTCGGCCCCTCGCAACATGAAGTTGACATGCGACATTTAATGCTTAATTCCAATAGAATGTGGAATTCGTATAGCTTTGACGTAGTTTAGCCAGAACTCATGCCAAATAGCTAAGAATGAACAACTTTTAAAATATTTTTTGTCATTTTTAATTTCTGATAAATCTTATTTATTTACTTGAAAGAGCCGAGTCAGAGTTGTCGTAGTGTATGTAAGTGTTGCGAACGTTGACACAGCGTTCGTATGCCGAGTAAAAGAAATGTTATTTGTTCTTCATATATAACTTATGCTACATCACAGGCAGTCAAAGGGTTGAGGAAAAAACAACAAACACAGAAATGACAGAAATTGGAAAGGAAAATAATGAATTTCAAAGAAAAGGTTCCTATAACAACAAACCCCTGCCAAAGCAAACCAAGTCACATTCCCAGCCCCAAAACGCCCAACGTGTGGGACGGGTTCCAAGGTTTCTAACCCACGACACAACATCGTAAGCCGTATCCGGAGATAAACCGTGGAAACCCTTCAAAATGGTGGCCCGACCCTCACGCTTGAACCCGAGGGCTTGACAGAATTATCACTTCCTTGTTATGGTAAGCACGTGGAGACACAGGTTGCTGCCCTTGGGGACAAGCTAGTCTCCTAGGGGTGGGGTTCTTACACCCATGATGATGCTCCCTTATGACAAAACACCGAAGTCTTCCCATCTTCCCATCTTGGCGTACATGTGCACATATCATGTTCTGATTTCGCTTAAATAATGTTAATGTGAGATGTTCAGTGCAGTTATTTATGTATATTTTGTATGATCAGAGCAATGATAAATAAATACGTTGAATGAAGCAGTATACCCACCATGCCCAAAGAAGTGATTTAGAAACCAATGCTTAAAGTCCGTGAGGCTGGGCTAAGTCGTTTAAAGAGAGTGGTAATACTCTTTGTTGTTTTAGCCCATCCTTCAAGTGATGGAGTTACACAAACAGTTATCCTTGTGAAGTGGCAGTGATATACCTGATCATGACGTTACACTGGAGACCATGTCAAATACTCCAACGATAAAAGTCGTTTTAGGTGTCCCGGGGGAATTGTCAAATTCTTTGACCATTCTATTCATTTCTCTGACAACATCGGCAGCTTAAATGAAGTAGTAAATATCCAACATTGAGTTGCAACATTAATAATCCTACTCCAGAATTTTTGTTGTTTTATTTCAAAGTGAGTTAAACTGGGTGAGAAACGCCAGGCACAGTAACAATAAGTACCATCTTCTAACGTCTTATTGTATTAGGAGACCGGGGATCGAACCATCGACCTTTCGCTCTCCGGGAAGGCGTTCTCTTCACCAGACCAAGAAGGCGGTCTGTAAGTTGAGCTAAACAATATTTCAGTGATCACACGGCTTGTCAGCGCAGATAAGCTGCTGTCAGACCAATGATTATGATAGGATATAATCTAGAATTCGAAACGACAGCAGGTCCTGGCCCGACAAAGGGACACAGCAGTTCTCAGAAATTGCGACGCCTTAGAAAACCCGTCCTCGTGACCAACATACAATGTTTATTATGATATGATTGTTATCCATTAGCGTGATTCCGGTAATAGATACATTTCAGGCCTGACGTCACATTATCGGACCCGTGAAGATCCGGGGTAGAATAGGTCTCCAGCAACCCATTCTTGCCATAAGAGGCGGCTATGCTTGTCGTATGAGGCGACTAACGGGATCGGGTCGTCAGGCTCGCTGGCTTGGTTGATGCATGTCATTGTATCCCAATTGCGTAGATCGATGCTCATCTTAGATTTTTCTTAAGAACGTGCAATAGATTTACTTTACTTGTAACAAAATGTCTCATATACGATTTAGTTATTAACTATATTTGAACAAAATATATTGGTTACAAGGAAATTAAACTGTTATTGAATTAAAAGATTTTGTACCTAAAACTGCCTACCACAATGACAACTTCATACGGCTCTACCCGTGAAGATCCGGGGTAGTATAGGTCTTCAACAACCCATGCTTGCCGTAAAAGGCGACTATGCTTGTCGTAAGAGGCGACTAACGGGATTGGGTGGTCAGACTCACTGACTTGGATGGTGCATGTCATTGTATCCCAATTGCGTAGATCGATGCTCATGATGTCAATCACTGGATTGTCTGGTCCAGATCCGATTATTTACAGGCCACCGTCATAAAGCTGGAATATTGCTGAGTGCGGCGTTAAACAACAAACATACAAACAAATAAACGTTTCATGAAGGTGCACTGTATTATAAGTTTACCTACCTTCTGAATCGTGTATTAATTCTGGATCCGGGTTCTTCCGCTTGAGGCTCACGCTCATGTCATGGGGACTAGATGTGTCTCTGTCAGAACTACTGTCCTTCATCGGTTAACCTGTGTCAACAAAGTGGCGGTTAACGTCAATTATACACAGCAGTAGCACTATACTCCATAATCGGTTAACGCACAGTATATGCAACGGAGCACTGTTACAGCACAGTGTTGAAGCAGGCACCAGTTAGCACACAGTGTCTTAACCCGTGCCGTATGCAATAAAAGTAGTCTTGTAAATTATCGGTTAACATAAAATATATACAACAATTGTTTTGTGTTTGTTTGTTTGTTTGTTTGTTTGTTTAACGCCGTACTCAGCAATATTCAAGCTATAAGACGCAGTCTGTATATAATCGAGTCTGGACCAGATAATCCAGTGATTGATATCATGAGCATCAATCTACGCAATTGGGATCGATGACATGCATCAACCAAGTCAAAGAGCCTGACCACCTGATCCCGTTAGTCGCCTCTTACGACAAGCATAGTCGCCTTTTACGGCAAGCATGGGTTGCTGAAGACTTATTCTAACCTGGATCGAAAAGGGTCGGTGTTGTAGTTAATCGTCGGTTAACATGAGGAGGTATGTAAAACATGTGTACTGAAGCAGCACATGTTAACCTTTGGTATATGCAACAATCCACTGGGTATGTTTGAAGCATCGAATCATCGTTTAACCTTTAGAATATACAAATTGTACGATATACCCAAAGGCTTGACGGATTAACTATAGTAATATGAAAAAAACGGGTGTTCTTTAACTTCTTTTAAGTAGTATATATATACAAGAATGATAATTGTATTTGGCATAAACCAAACATATTGTAACAAAACTTCTATCAACATACCAAACACATTATGTTAAGACATCAGTTAACGTGAGACTTCCTGACACCGTACATGTCGAGATATCGGTTAACATGTAGTATTCCTGACACCTTATATGTCGAGTAATCGGATAATGTGTAATTTTAACATACACACTATACGTCGAGACATCGGTTAAGGTGTAGTGTTCCTGACACCTTTATGTTGATACATCGGTTAACGGGTAGTATAACTGACGATATATTTTGTCACATCGGTTAATATACAAAGATCTTATGTATCGAACTGCCAGTTATATGGTACACACAATAATTGTCCCACCAAACATGAGCGAGGATTCACAAGCATCTTTTACACTTTGGCATACGCTTCATTATTGGTGGCGACATTTAACAGACTTCGTGTAAAGTAAGATATAGAAAATAGAAACATACACATATTCCTTGTATCCCAAACAGTAGATAACCCTGTGAAATGTGTAACACCAAACATCAATTAACCTCTTGTATCGGCCACATCCGTGTTAACCCCAAACACAACCCCAAACAACTACAATGGTGTATACATCATCTATGTTATATACAAACACCCATCAGTCGGTGTAGAACTTTGTGCCGCTTCAACCATCAGCTACAATATCGGCAACCTCATCCAATCGGTTTAAGTAGGGACAAAGCTGTGACACCTACCGGACCCGAACTTTGATATAGTTCCCAGTCCCAGCAACATCTGACGTAACTTGCTTTTTGAGTTGAGAACACCAATATTCTGGGAACTTTAGTGCGTCAAATCGCCAGTGAATCCCCCCTTCACCCCCCCCCCACCCCAAAAAAAAAAAGAAAAGAAAGAAGAACTCTCTTTCTTAGAAGAAAATGTAGTGAAAAATAATGATAGTTATTGTTTTGATTCTTAATACGTTTTATATTTGTAAACTTTATTTGTATCATGTTCCTAAACCCCTATTGAAGCCTCCCTTTTTACCATTGTTCATCAAAGTGATCAATATGTAATCAGGTGTTTAAGTGATGTCTCTCTATAAGAAAGTTTTCACTTTGTATCTAATATTTAGAAAGTGTATTTAAAAAAATATTCCATGTAAATACAATTACAAAAGCAACAAGATGCGTGCATATGTTTCTATAGATGTAGAAACCACTCATGTACCTATGCCAGTGACGTATAAGAACTTTGTTGAAATTGTGTCACAAAATATGTTCACTCCTTCCCGAAACCACACTCTAAACATAAACTGAAAAAAATTGTTTTGTGACTAAAACATCCCCTGTTGATATAGATTTCGTGTTTGATTTGTAGTTGCAACTTATTTTCACCCATATTGTTGAATTATTGATGTTGAGTAAACACGCCTTTCCAACGAATGGCTCCTTGTAATTTCTTTAACAGTAATGCAGGTGACGACTGCGCACAAAATGCACCACAAATGGATAATCGCGTATGGTGAGGTTTGTCTTCACGTAATTAACGATGTCCCGAGCAGCCATACGTGATGTACATCTCACATGAAGAGTTGTTCAATAAAGAGATCTTGACATACAAATCATGTGCGCACACATTATCCAACTTCCGGCTTGGTGCTAAACAACTTCCGGAGGATTGACAACCCAAATTACCAGTCTCTCATTGACTTGGGAGAGTACAGTCACGTGACCTGTCCTCGAAGGCCTTGGAGACGGTGATCTGGCGACACTGAATTTATTCCCTTTGACTGGACTATTTACAAATGTATCCCATGCTGCCAAACATTTCTTATATAAATCCATAAATCCCTGATGTGTAAATGCAAAAAGCAGCCATGATATTCTGAAAAGTAGGTCTTCGGAATTTGTATTGATGTACCGTTGAACCTTACGAAGCAATGTTGAGACTTGGCCCTGTGCTAGAAAGAGGCAAACATATAGCTCAAAGCTTTTGCAACGAAACGTTGCTATAGTGTGTTCTTTTCTTACCAGTCATTAGTGTTTCTTGACGACTTCTAAAAAAGTCTGGTTTCCACATAGTTTATCCTTATTTTGAATACGAATCATTTCCAAATTGTTCTGTTTGTCGTTGTATAACCGCTATTTTAAGAATGATGTATATGGCATGTCTATGACGTCATTGGCAAACAGGGGGCACGGGTGGCCCAATCGTCTAAGGCGCCGCAATTCGCTGTGCAGAGTTGCGTTCCTTGGACACGCCAGAAACCTATGATTGTGGGTTCGAATCCCGGTTCGCCCCGATTATGTTTCTAGGTTTGTCAGCACCATACCCGTGCTCGTGGGTTTCACCGAAGTGGTAAACGTCTGAGACCTGCATCACTTCGGGCTTTCCTCCCACATGAAGCTGACACGCCGTGATATAACTGGAATACTGTTAAAAGCGGCGTTAAACCCAACTCACTCACTCACTCACTCATTGGCAAACTAAAAAGGGTGGCTTTAAATATGTTAATGAACGTTCATTTTAGAAGAGGGTGGTGAGTGAGACATGCTGTTTAACACCATCGTGATCAATATAAAGCTAAAGTCCTGCTAGTCTGTAATATTTCAAGGCTTAACCAAACCAGTGGTCGAAAGTGTGAGCACGGATACATGTCCGGTAGCCATGATACACCATCAGCCAGGCGATGATGAGAGTGGTATCGCGTATCAAGTTTATCCTACATCCAAGTACCGTTCACACGCTGCAACTACTGCGACATCCGATCCCCATTTACGTGTCATCAGTGAGTGGGTGAGTGAGTGAGTTGGGTTTAACGCCACTTTGAGCAGTATTCCAGTTATATCGCGACGTAACAGCTTAATGCTGGGCCCCGGCGTTTACGACTTTGGTGAAACCCACGAGCACGGGTATGGTGCTGACAAACCTCGAAACATAATCGGGGCGAACCGGGCTTCGAACCCACGATCATAGGTTTCAAGGGACGCAACCCTGTACAGCGAATTGCGGCGCCCTAGACGACTGTGACACTCATGCCCCGTCTTCTCATCAGAGTAAGCTGGGTTTGTTTTTGCTGTTTGGTGAGGAGACGGGAAAAGAGCAATATATCCTTGTAAGTTGCAGCTTAAGTAGAATCAGCTCTATCATATCGCAACACACTCGTGGGGAATCTGTGTGAGAACATACAACCCCAGCAAGCTATGATTGGCGTACGGAGCGACTAAATGGACCGGGTGGTCAGGCTTGGTGACCTTGTTGATTTGCATGTCGTCGTATACAATTGAGGAGATGGATGCTCATGATGTCAATCGCCAGTCCAGACTCGATTATTTACTGGATATTTATCATATCGCGAAAATGTTGCTTGGTGCGGCGTTAAGCAACAAACAAACCCATATGGCGATATGCAAAGAAATCCCTTGGTTCAATATGAACTATCCTTCGAGATAACGAGAACAGACTGTGCTATTTTTCAACGAACTAGATAACATGTAAAACTGATGGTCATTAGACTGGGGAGATAACACTGTACAGGTCATCACCGTGCTGACAGACTGCAGACTGCTGTCCAACGCTAGTTTACCCAGTAACCTTGGCTCTCGTAGAATGCCCTTATAGAGATTCAGCACTGAACACATTAGCATAGTAACCAGTTGACAATTCAACATGGGAAAACTCACTCACGCGTGTACCATGCTGTGTTAAAGGCACATGGACCTCATCTATCGTTCTTCACTTTCGTTGACTAACGTCAAGGTGTGTATCATACGAATCATATTTGAGATTTTTTTAATAACTATACAGTTAAGATTTAATTTATAGTGTAATACCTTGTAAAAAAGATTCGCAAAAGATAAATGGTAATGCAAATAAGTATTTGAAGGAAAGAATAAAATCCAAACTAATTTAACAAAACAAGAACGAATTTAACATCCCATATTGTTTTTTCCTGCAGCTAATCTGACAGCACAGCTTTAACACTGCATAAACTGCTGCCTTGCATTTGCATTGATTCCTTCCAATTACAACCTCAATTCACCGATGAAAGACCCACATATGTGGTATTTTGGTCACCCAGTGCACTTTCTTTATACATAAAACACATACAGCGCCACCAATAATGGTACACAGTTTGGAAGTCATATTCTATTTCAGGGACTGGAGAAGATGCCCTATTATTCTTAGCACATACTACATGTGCAGTGTAACAGAACAGGAATAAGCATTGCCTACATACACACACTGGTTTCTCAATGTAAGTAAAGGTCCATATGTACGATCAATGATGCGCT